ATGTGCAAGTACACACACACACAAATATATAAACATATATACACACATATATGTATACCAGTAAACAAATCAATAAGTTAGGTATTGTGTTAATATAAGTTAATTTGAAGCAGTTAGTTTTACCATTGTGTACTTATGTGCCAATCTCAGGAGCTCTGTGCAGCCCTGGGCATCTCCAAATGACAGAATCCCTAAGCAGTTTGAAGGATGGAGCTGCTTTATAAGAAAATTGGAGCAGACTTCAATGACTTCAGTCAGCTGCAGAAAACAAGCTGCACCTAGCAAATTTTCATTAGTATCTTCTTTCAATTGCAGAACACCTAGATGTTTTGAAAAAATAATGATTATGTGTCCTATGAAATAAGGCACAAATATGCTAACTAGAAATTTTTCAATTCTCTCATTAGCAGTGCTGTCTTTTGTAATGTACAACAACCACTCAGGAAATAACTTTTTAAGCCACCATGTGCAAGGGAATCTGTATAAACATTAATAAGATGGATGAAGGGAGCCAGTCTAGATTATCAAAAACAACTGTAACAAATGAACAGTGAATACTATCATTACAAAGAGAAAATTGTTATTTCTTTACCATCTTAAAACTGCACTACACATTATTTAAACACATTTCTATATCATGACTCAAGGAGCATTATATAATATTATATAAGGATCATACAATTGGCCAAAGAGGTAGCTGTCATTCATGTGGAAAAACATCTTGGTAAATAAGAGCATTGATGTTATATGTCCGTTTTTTAAAGTCTCCATTTATTAGCTGATAAGGAGACATTTCCTAAATATTTTGCCCATAATTGACACCTGGACTGTCTCAAAAGAAAGAAAACTTTGCCCAGAGTCTACCAATAAACAATTGCTTATATGGTTACATTTGAAGGTATGAAAAGGGTTTCTGTTTAATAATATACGTAAAGACTATCTGTAAAGAACTTTAAAAAGGAGATGAGAGCTATTTAAGCTATTTCCTGTGTACTGATATGCTGCAATAAACACATACTTAATTATATAATAAATAGCTTTTTAAGGTATTTCCTGTGTATTGATATGCTGTATTATTTTTGGAACAAGAATTTTGATGAATTATTGCAAATGTTATGTTATTTGGTAAGTCTTATTCCTGTTTGTTTTGGCCAAGCAATATAGGTAAGTTACAATGTGTGATATTTCATTTAGATTATATAAATTATAAACTCTTCCTTTGTAAATTTACCTTTTAAAATTCCTCCATATAGATTCTGTATGGTTGCATAACCATAAAAAAAGAGTAATACATACTGCGAGTTGATCTGTATTTGGTTCAACCTCTAAAATATGTTGTAAACAAATCCTGTCCATAAGCACACTTTTCTGTGTCTTTCTTGTCTTGGATTTTGAAGGGAGAGCTCTGCCCATATCTCATGAGACTCATAGAAGTATGAACTATTCTTAGATTCAGATCTAAAGATCCACCTGCTATAGACATTGAAACTTGGCCTGGTTGTTAAGAATATTATTGCTTAATGAATGAAACCACAAAAACTCCTATAATTAAACAGCAAAAAAAAAAAAAAA